AACCTGCACACAAGAACTTTGCCACAGCCTTCAGGAGCTGTGTCTGCACTTTCTGCCGCAGCTGTTGCAACATTTTCCTGTTGTGTAACCCCAAGTCACGGTAGTGAAACCATAAACATGAGGCTCAAGACTGGTCCCTGCCTGTGGCAGTGCTCCCAGTTCTTGCAGCAGGAAGGGCTGCTGCACAGCTTTTTGCTCTTATGTTTAAGAACTGTCTGGTTTTCCCTCAAAACCAGACCTGTAATCTCTTCAGGTCACCACAATTCATTAGAGCTGCCTCTTGGTTCAAGCTTTCCCAGAGTGTCAGAGCAGTGCTGTAGGAGCCCAATATTTAACTGTGGTAGTGGTGGCACTGAATCCCCAAATCAACCTTTCCTGTGTCCAGTTTAAAAAGCCTGAGCTCTGCAGTCCTCCATGCCCTACACACCTTTCATGTTGGATAGTCTCAACAAATCCTTCCCCCACAGCAGACTCATTATTATCAAGAGAACTGGGGAAAGGAGGTAAATAAGTAGGATAAGACAAAACATATGTAAAGCAGGCTATGAGACACCATTATAAGAATGTAGTGGAGGGTGAAAGAGGAAGAAAATAAGTCCTATTGCTGCTTCAGTAGAAGCAGTTGGTCTGAGGTGGCAAATCCACCTTTCTCAGCACTGTGGAAGGCAATTATGATCCCTCTAAGCACAGTGTGTTCCATGCCAAGGCACTTCAGACATCCTCACAGCAATGGTGACAGTGGATCCCTGCTCTGGCCAGCCAAGGGGTGACCATGGTTCATCCTAGGCAGAAGGACAGGGCCCTGCTGGGCTGTTTGGTGCCAGCCTGCCTCTCTCCAGGGGTCCAGGGAGCTCCACTGTCACTCACTGCCTGCCCATGAGTGCTTGGCAAGCCAGGCTGGATGCCTCCACCATCTGTGTGAAATCCTTCCAGCCATTTAGATTAAATGTTGACTTCAGTAAAATGTAGGGCTCTTAATGACCTGACATAGTCCATATGGAGTAGCTGCCACAGATAGTGACTGTCTTGACACTGATTAATCACTTCTTCTAGTAGTGTATTTGTCCCTGGTTACTTGACACAGTTCTTCCCTAATAGCTTTTGAATAGTTCTGGGGTATTCATATGACCTTGGCTTTGGGGAATAGCCCACCTGATGACACACATTACCTACTCCAGGGTAGGCTTGGCTGATTTTCATCAAACTGACTTGGACACTAGCTTTGGGGGGTTTTCTTTGCCCTGTGCCCACCAATCTCAGCCCTTTTCTGCAAAGAGAACCACTTAGGCTGGGTTCTGTTTGGTTTAAGTGCCACCATTTGCAACGGGCTGGGCTTGGGCTGTGCTGTGTAACATGTAGGGATTGTGATTCCACCTCCACATCCTTCCTTGACACTTACAGTCACAGGCATGACAAGCAATCTGCATTGCTGATGCTCCTTGGTCTGGAACTAGCAGTTAAATAATCTGTATCTGCAGTCAATCACTGCTCAGACAGAGCCTTGACACTGTCTGACACCCCAGACTAAATGTGGAGTTTCTCAATCTGAACATTGTTCTCTTCTTCAGAGCTGAGAGATCCAGAAGCAAAGGCAAGAGGTCTTCCAGGCTGATTTTCCATCCCTGTGGCTGCCCCATCCTTGGCAGTGTTCAAGGCCAGGTTGGACAGGGCTTGGAGCAACCTGGTCTAGTGGAAGGTGTCCCTGCCCATGGCAGGGGGGCAGAACAAGATGGTCTTTAAGGTCCCTTCCAACCCAAACCATTCTATGATTCCATGATTCTGTTATTAGACTTCACATGAGGAACCATCATAAGTGAGAGTTACAGGCATCAAGGTGCTCTAGGATCTGTTCTGATGAAATCAGTGTCTCAGCTCCCTCCCCATCCATGGTGCTGGGTTCCTGTGATCCAGCACTGTCTCTGCCCTGGGCATGCCAGGTCAGACAGGGGTTGCTGTTCAAAGCAGTGACTCACCACTTCCAGGAACCAATGTATTTGTGGAATGTGCAGCAAAAAGATCTTAAAGCCATTTTCAGATTCTTTCCCCCCCCAATTTTTCTTATAATTTATATAAATTGTTTTTCCCAGCAGAATGGAGTTAATACTGTTAAATTTGTGAGACATTTCCTTTTGCTTTTCGACTCCACTCAGACAACCTTTCAGAGCTGGACTTTGTGAGTGTAAGGACTGGTGATGTGTCAGCTGAACCTGAGGGCAATGCTGGGTCAGCTGGTGTAGCCTGAGCTTCTCCAGTACTCTTGGAAACTCTTGTGTTGCTCCCCATCTTTAGCTCCACAAGTGCTGAGTGCACTGTGTAAGTGCCAGCATCTCAGGAATGCTCTCTCCCATCTGATCCATCACTCTCTCCCATCTGATCCATGACTCACCACCAAATAGTTGTTACATATGGTACTTTCACTTAAAATAAGATGTGCTTTGTTTAATCTTGAAATAGTCTGTGCCATTTTCCTCACCCTCCATTTGCAGATAGACTTGAGGAACTGCTTGGGATGACTCCTGAGGCAGATAGAGCCCCTCTGCTGGGTAATAGCTGTTGATCTACCTGTGATACTGGGCTAACTGTGACCTTGAAATCACCCTAGATACATACAGTCCTCTCTGTTTTCATGGCTGTCACCAGTTGTCTTGTCCAAGAGTTTAGCTAATTTTTCCTTATGGCCGTAGTTCACGAATTATTTTCTTTTAATATAAGCAAGTATAAGATGTTTTGTCAGTCCAGCTACATTGTGGCTGTCTTAGGCTGTGTAAAACCTTGCTTGAGATCACAGAAACTGTATACACACTGTCTGCTGTCGTGTTACTTCTATTATAATAATGTTCAGGAGAACAAAGATTACTCAGGCATTCACTGATTCTCTGTAACACCTCCTTGCTAAGAGATCTTTGATGATCCTACCAGCAAATTGCCGGCCCAGTGAATCATGTTTCATTTTAGATGTCATTTTTGTCACTTTAAAGGATTCCAAGTAATACTTTTGTTTCCTGTGAACCAAAAGAGGCAATTACATGGACATTACGGCTTCCTACAGTCCTGGCACATTGCTGTGTGCAGGAATATGCAGGAATATGTGTGAGGAATATGGAGTTAACCAGCATTGACTTTCTGAACTGGTTTGATTTGCTCACTTCCATGTTTTCTGCTTGTGCCCCACCCCTTGCAGCATCTATAAGATTTGTCCTTGAACAAATTATGTGTATGGTGCAACTCTCACACTCCCTTGTGAGAGAAGCAGCACATCCTTTGAACGTCCTTCAAGCTGTACTTTCCACTTGACCTCTGAGCATGGCTGTGGGATGGATTTTGTGATGCTCCCAAACTCTTCAGCATCTTCAGTAAGTCTCCATTGAAATGGTAATTTCTAGAGCACACTTCGGGCTCATCTCAGCTTTAGATAAAAATTAAATGTGGATTGCTTCATTCTGCATATTGAATACTAAAGGATGCACTCGTTTGTTCTCTCTGCAGACACATGATGCTCTGCCAATTTCCTTAATCCAGGCACAGAAGCAGTCAGCAATTGTTTCCATTCACTTTTGATTCCATCTGTAAAAGGAAATACCTGCAATCACCAGAGGCTTTTCAGAACAGGGATTTTGTAGAACTTGTCCAATTTCAACAAACTTTTTGTCTGCTGGCTTAATGGGCACTATCTGGCTGCACATCAGGGTGTCAGTTTTAGCTCCCATTGTGCTGCCATGTGTTTTTTATCACAGAGATCATCAGTTATTTTAGGATTTCCCCATCTCTCTCTGGCTCACTACTGACCTGCCAAAGTCAGCCCCCTTCCCCCCTGAAACATTTTAAACTTTTCTTTTTGAGTGGGTTGCTCACTGGACTGATATCACAGCTTATATTTAATATTAATTTTCAAAGACTTTCGTGAGTAGTCTCTCTTTATTCCATCTACTTCTAGACTAATATCTCACCCTTCTTTCACATTTTTGCCACTTCTCTACGTGGTGTTAATAATACCCAGCAATGCTATGGCTGGATCCCCAGTAAGACTTCTTAGTTATCTGCAGGAAGACAGGAGTAGATACACGAATGCACCACCATTTGTCAGAGTAAATGAGGGCAGGGAGCTTTATTAGAAGGCTCACAGCTGACTTAATATTGCCAACTGAGAGGTTTTACAAAGCTTTTTTTCAGAAACAATAGCTGTGTCTGCACTGGAAATTCAGGATGATATTGAGATGTAGTTGCTTTTGTAGCCAGGCATCAAACACAGATTAAGGCATGAAAAGGGCAGGGAGCAGCTCTGAGCCCAGCTGGGGGGTTTGTACCTCTCCCTTCTGGTGCCCCCAGCACCCACCCTGCCACGGGAGGGATGAGGAGGGGTGTGATGTGTGTGACCATAACTCTGACCACTGAGAATCTCCAGCATTTACTCCTTGTGCCCGGCCATGCTCCTGCAATAATTGCAATAAAGATCCAACCAGATGGATAAAACCTGGATGTATGCTGAGAAGAGCTTAGCCAGAGATAAACCTGTGCTTACCTGGCTTAGGGAGACATCTGCCACAGCTGTGCACTTCACTGCTTGCCAGTGTGGTGAAGCTGGGAGCATGGCAGGGGTACAAAGGCAGGGAGTCATTCTCTCTATCCAGTGCATTTGAATTATGGGATGTGGGGCATGGCCTTCCAGAAACTGTGCTCAGAATTTCAGAAATATTCCCTATTTTTGCCCATTTGACATGAGCTAAACAGAGGCAACAAACTCAAGTGACAGTGATGCAACCCCACGCTCTTTTTAGTTTCTAGGCCAAACTATATGTGTCATTACTTCCTTTTCCTCTTGATTTTTTTTTTCTTACGTTTTTCAAAAACAATTTCAAGAAGAGCAACTAACTCAGAGTGTGTCTAGAAACCAGGCAGAGACCACTTTCACTTCCCTTCTCGTTCCCTGCCCCTCTCAGTGATGTGCAGTGAGAAGCAGGAAAGCTGAAACGCAACGCCTGGCACCGCCGCAGGTTTCTCGCTCCGGGTCTGTGAATGATATCCATGCTGCCTTCTCCTGCCCTCCTGGCCTCCTGAAGATGCCCAGGAGAAGAGCCCTTCCCCTGTGGACACTCCTGGTGCTGCTGCAGCTGGCACTTGTCCCATGGCCGCTGGCAGGCTGCCTCCTCAATCCCTGTTTGGAGGTACGTGAGCTCTAAGCGATCCCAAAATCCTTCTGTTTCTCTGGTGCAACTTTTCCCTCTGCTTGGGAGATTTGTGCATCAAGCCTGTTGTCTGGTCTGTTGTCTTATGAAAGCCCATCTTTTTTTTTTTTCCATGGTTGTTACCAAGGCAGTTGAAGTATTTGAAGTAAATGCTGGTTTTAAAAACATCTGAGAACCAGAAACCAGCAGCATGAACCTCTTCTTCTTGTTGGCTTTCTGTACCTCTGAGGGTGTTGCAGTGCAGTTAGTGTAATAGATTATGTTTCTCTTGGAAGAGATCCAAACCTTGTCTCTGATTTCTGCAAAATACAGTGTTTGTGCCTGATTTGTGCAGCAGAGTGATTTCACCAGAGCCCCAGGTACTGGACACTGAGCGACTGCCTTTTGCAAAGTTTTGCTGACAACTGTTACTTACAGAATAACTTTGGGTTGAGCTGCCTGATTATCTGTAGGATAACAGAGCTGAGAGCTGAGCCTGGCCATCCAATGGATCTGCACATTTTTGCCCTGCTGGCTCTCTCCAAGGTTGTTGCTGGTTCATCCGTAGCCTCAAGGAACACTGTCCTATAGTTTTGCCCCTGCTTCAATCAGCAGGAAATGTAGCTCCTCCTGGGGAGCAGGACTGGTTCTATCAAAAATAGGAAAGATGCTTGGGATATATAAGATTATTTCCTAAAACTCAGGGCAGCTCATTTAGAAGTTAACTGCCAGGTTGGTTATTCTGCTCCTGCTTTCCTGACAGTGTAGTTTTCTGGCACCTCACGAAGAGCAGATGTTGACCCTGATTGGATCTACCACTGTTACAGGTCATCCCTAACACAACTTTCAGATGCACTGAACTGAACACCTCTGCAGTTCCTGCTGGAGTCCCAAACACCACCCAGAACTTGGATCTTAGTTTCAGCAATCTGAAGTCACTGAGGTCAAATTATTTTTCATCAGTCCCTGAATTGCAGCTTCTGGATCTTTCAAGGTAATGAGCTCTTTTATGTGGATACTGGTTAATCTTGCTCCACCAGCTGGGCTGTTGTGGTGGCCTATGTTGGAATCTAATTGTTTTGGTTGTTCATTTTTTTTTTCTTTTTGCTCGTGACTTTGTCTCTGTGTCTGTCACTTTGCACATCCCCACACTGAAGTGATGTGCAGCTTTTAGTCCAGTTACTTAGTGCACACCCTCCACGCAGAGCTGGGTCTGTCAGTCTGATCTTGTAGGTTGAGATGTGAGAAGGAGGAGGAAGATGTTTTACTTGTCTCTGAACAAGAAAAATGTCAGACTTTTCTCTGTTACAAAAACTCTGAAGTGGAACATCTTGGGTGAGATGTTTTTCTAATCACAGTTTAGGAAAAAAAACCCAAGATGAAGGTACATTCATTTTCTAAAAGGCTGTTTTAAAATATCAACATATTCTCTTTTCCCTTCTCCTCACATATCTGGGGGAGGAGATGGAGGAGGCTTATTAGCAAATTTGAATTGATGTATAATTTCCATTGACTTGAGACAACAGTTTCTCTGGGTAAATTGTTTCACTGAAAAATGTCACTCAGTTCCATCACAGCTCCAGCTCCGAAGTGGCTGAGTGGCAGAGCACATTTGCTGTGAGACACTGGCTGGATTATAGGATAATATTGCTGAATTTATTGCAAAATGGCTTTGGGTCTCACATTCTGGATCTTCCCTCTTGAAACCAGAATTGGCCACTCTCTTTTTCCCCTCTTCCCTTTGCAGAACTGCTGACAGAGCTGTGAGCTTTGCCACGGCTGCATCTCTCTGGTGCCAGTGGGACTGCCCAGATGTGGCTGAGGTGACAGTCTGAAGGCTGTGAGGGTGCAAGATCAAGGGAAGGCTGTATCTGGTTGGCTGTGCCATCAGTGATGGTCACCACAATGTCACTTTGGCCTAAAGAGAAAGTCAGAATTCTTCTTTCCTGATGCCTGCATGGATTTTTGACCTTCTCCATGGCTCAAGGTCTCTTGCTTTGCAGCTGAACTTCAGATTAGAGAGGGAGGAGGAGGTGACAGGAGGTCTCCTGCTGTGGAAGGGTTCCATTTGCACATCCAGGAGTGCTGGCTCTGCCCAGCACAGCACAGCCAAACCAACCCCCAGCAGGAGGATGAGAATGTTACAGCAGCACTTAGTGCTGCAGCGTTAATGAACATGAGAGGGACAGTGTTTCACACTTTTATTCTCTTTTCCTGCCCAACAGGTCCCACATCCATACAATAGAAGATAATGCCTTTAAGGACCTTCATAGACTTTCCACCTTAATTTTAACTGCCAATTCCTTCCAGTACCTGGGGACAGCAGCCTTCTATGGCTTAGCAGCTCTGAAAAAACTAGTACTGGTGGAAACCAACATAACCTCTGTGACTGACCTGCCCATTGGACACTTGCATACCCTGCAGGAGCTGAATTTGGGCCACAACAGCATTACTTCATTGAAGCTTCCCGAGTATTTCACCAACCTGACCTCTCTCAGGCACCTGAGCTTTTTCTCTAACAAGATCACATATATCTCCAAAGGAGACCTTGATGCTCTGAGGGAAGGGAGCAGGCTCAACCTCACGCTGGTGCTTTCCTTGAATAATATAAAATCCATAGAGCCGGGGTCCTTTGCAAAGATTCACCTCGGTGAGCTGGTTCTGAGGTCCTCTTTTGAGAACTTCAGCGTGATGCAAACTTCTCTTCGAGGCCTGGCTGGCTTACAAGTGAAAAGACTAATAGTTGGAGAATTCAGAAACCGTTATAGACTGAGTGACTTTCAGAGAGGACTCTTGAGTGGACTGTGCCAGGTCCAGATGCAAGAGTTTGTCTTAATCTGTTTCAAGAACTTTGAGAGTAACACAGACACCCTTTTTGACTGCTTAGGCAACGTCTCCACCATTCGCTTGGTGAACCTCGGGCTTGAAGAGATATCAGAGGTTCCTGTGTCCTCCCAAGTGAAACAGCTGGAGTGCAAGAACTGCGATTTTGAGGAAGTGCCTGCCGTGAAGCTGTCGCACTTCAAGGAGCTGAGAGTGCTTCGGATTACCAAGAGCACATCCCTCAGAAACTTTAGGCAGAAATTTAGGGATCTAAGTAAGCTGGAGGTCGTAGATTTGAGTGAGAATCACCTCGCCTTCAGTGGCTGCTGTTCCCCTCTGTTTCATAATTGTTCAAATTTGAAACACTTGAACCTCAGCTTCAACGCTGACATCAGGTTGACCGGAGATTTCCCTAATATTAAGAATTTGTTATATTTGGACCTTCAGCACACAAAATTATTTGGTCCTGGCTCCCACCCTGTCTTTCTCTTCCTTCGGAAACTCATTTACCTCGACATTTCCTATACCAAAACTCATGTTAAATCTCAGTGCACGTTTTGTGGCTTGAACTCTTTGCAAGTGCTCAAGATGTCAGGCAACTCCTTTGAGAACAATAGGCTGACCAACAACTTCAAAAACCTAACTCACCTCCACACCTTGGATATTTCAAGTTGCATGTTAGTACAGGTGAATCAAAATACATTTGATGCCCTCTCTGAACTAAAAGAGTTAAATATCAGCAACAATAAGCTCCTGACCTTAGATCCTGGAGTCTACCAGCCACTCCAAGCCCTCAGAGTCCTGGATTTCAGCAACAACCAGCTGACATTTCTGTTGGACTCAGCCCTGGAAACCCTGCCTGACAGCCTGGTCCTATTAGACATCTCTCAAAACCTGTTTGACTGCTCTTGTGCACACCTGAACTTTCTGAAATGGGTCAAGGAGAAGCAGGAGCTGCTGCAGAACAAGGAGCTGATGATATGCCACATGCCTGCAGACATGAAGAACGTGAGCCTGTCAAGCTTTGACCTGTCCTCCTGCCACCTCAGTGCAAGCAAAGTGGCCATCACAGTGGTCACGTTGCTCAGTGCAGTGGTGTTCCTTCTCCTGATTTACAACTACTATGTCCAGCTCTACTACTCGTTGGTGCTGCTCAGTGGGTGCAAACACTCTGCAGAAAGGGGTAACACCTATGATGCCTTTGTTATCCACTCCAGCAAAGACCAGGAATGGGTGATAAGAGAGCTGGTGGAACCCTTAGAAGGGGGAACACCTCCCTTCCACCTGTGTCTGTCCTGCAGGGATTTCCTCCCAGGGGTACCCATTGTCACCAATATCATCGAAGAAGGTTTTCTCAGTAGCAGAAATGTCATCGCAGTCATCTCTACCAACTTCCTGGAAAGTAAGTGGTGTAGCTTTGAGTTTGACATTGCCCAGTCCTGGCAGCTTGTTGAGGGAAAGGCTGGAATCATCATGATTGTACTGGAAGAAGTGAATAAGGCCTTGCTGAGGCAGAGGCTGGGGCTGTCTCGGTACCTGAGGAGGAACACCTACCTGGAGTGGAAAAACAAGGAAATGAGCAAGCACATCTTCTTGAGGCAGCTGACAGGAGTCCTGATAGAAGGCAAAGACTGGAATAATGAGAAGGAAAAGCTCAAGTGAAGAGAAAGAGAGATTCCTCTTCTCCTGTCTCCTGTCCTGGCCTTGGCTGAAGGATGGTGCTCAGAAGTTGGTTTTTCTGTTGCTGTTCAGAGTCAGAGGGAATGGATGGAGACACTGCAAAACCACTACAGAGATACCTGCCTTGCAGGCCACTCTTTCCCAAGGGAACTTCCAAGCTAAGGAGTGACAAGACCCAGAAGAGCTGGACCTGCCTGAGCTCTATGTTTTCCTATGGCTGTCAACCAAAGCTGGTCCAGCAGTACAGCCAGGTGTGGTGGGTCGGTGAACAGACTGACTGCTCTTACTGTCATTTGTCTGCCTCTGAAACTGGATTTGGGTCCTGAGACCACTTACACAGTAGGACGTCAGGTTCTGCTGCTTTGAGTGGACCCCAGGATCTCCAGGGGAGAGTAAAGATACAGGATTCTTGACTTTAAAAATGGTGGGAAACAGAAAAAGGGCTTGAATTCAGAAAGTCTTGTATCTGCTGTGTTATGCACCGTGAGTCAGGGGAAAAACCCTCCAGAGAGCAGTGGGGTGTCCTACAGCACAGACCACCTGGCAGCTACTCAGTGGAGCTGAGCAGTTGTGTCATCAGGGGGGAGGGAGGTTTCCACTGTGGGAAATTTCCCAACATGTTTCTTTTAGTTTGTTTTAGACTGAGACCAAATATTGAAACTATCCCCTGGAACTCTTATTTATGTCCAGATTGCATAGCATTTGAGAGTGGTTTGAGGTCTTCTTGTGGGATCCAAAAATCAGTGGGACCAGAAGAAGCCATAAAAATGTTTAACACCTCTTAAGTCAAATATTTCTTTGCTCTAACTGCTTCTCCTCCTCCAGGGTTTCTGGATAGACTGTGTGGGACTGCCCTATGTGAAGGAAATTGAGCCTGAGCAAAGTGGTTTTGATGTTTAGAGACAGCCAGTTCTAGAATAAGCTTTTCCACTCTTTGGACTAGCCTTAATTCACTGTTGGAAGATGCTGTAGGAGCCTCCATGGTTTGAAATGGACTTCAGATCAGCATGTGTGCTCATCCTTTCCCGGGGGTCAGCTGCTACCTGGGACAGAACAGCCACTGGATGGGGGAGTTGTGCTTTTGTTTCACTGAGAACGTGCCTGACATTTTGCAGGGAGAAGAGATAGAGGAGAAAAGTCTGGGTTAGCTAAACTAAATGTATCCCAGTACTGTCCTGAATAAAGAGAAGGAAAGTCTAAATGCCACCAAATCATATTACAGAGCATTCCATCGATGTGTCGGATATTGGATAGTGCGGGAGTATTGCTCTCTATTTACCAAAGGATTTGGATGGGATTAATCACTGAATTACTCTAGTTTTAAACTTGCAAATCCTTCTATAATCAATGATGTTCTGCAGAGGTAAAACAGAAGCAATTGAGTGGTGAATCAGATCTGATATTTATTCAGAAGGAAGGCCTGATCCAGCTCACTTTTCTGAGCACCAGTCAGCGGCATCTCCGTGGAAGCTGATGATCAGGGATCAACTTCAGACACTATTTGAAAGAGAGGGAGAGCTGGTTCCAGGAGCTGGTTCCAGGCCTTGTGCTGGCAAAGGCAGAACCACAGCTCCTTCTCTCTGTGCTGTGTCAGATAACACTACCAAAAAACCCCACAGCCCTCTCTAAACTTTTTTTGTGCCCCCTGAGATGAAGCTTTAATAAAACTAAGCTCAGTGCTGTGCTTCCTTTGCTCAGAGAGTTTGGTTTGCATCTGCTAAATACTGTTCCAGCAATTCCCAAAGTGTGGTGCTCCTTACCTGTGGCTGGTGGGTCCTGCAGACCTTCCTCCTCACCTTTCCTCCTCCACATTCCACCTTCTCCAGAGGCAGAGGCTGCTGGAGCTGGTGGGGGACAGTAAACCAGGGCACAGCTCGAGGTTCCCTGGATTGAGTCCAAAGCAGAGCACAGAGGACAAAGCAAATATTAGCCCAGATTTTAGCAGCTACAAGTTAAACTGGGAAACAAAAGAGGGAAAGTCAAATAGAATGGGAGTTCCTGCTCCTGAATTGAGCAGCACTGAAACTGCATTTCTCCTTCACTCTTTGTGGCTCCTCAGTGTATGTGTATTTCTGGCACAAAGCACAAAGTCCTGCGATTCTTGATTGTAATTATAATAATGAGTTTCAGAAAGCCTGCGAGTGGTTCTGGGCATTATAATAAGGATTTAGGACAGTATTGTTTAAAAAGTGAGTGGAGTGTTTGTTTGAATATCAAAGCAACTTTGGGAGAGCTGGAGTGATGCTCAGAGGAGGCTCCCACATGTACACTTTAAAAAGGAACTGCTCACTTGTTTTTCTCTTTCTATTCAGAGTCTACAGCAGAACTGGATATGTGAGTTGTCCCAAGTTTCCTTATTGCCCACGAAAAAGCACAAAAACCATCATAGCTTCTGGAAGTGGGAGTGAGACAGAGCAGTGAGATGAGACTGGAAGCTGGGTGGGGTGTTCAGAACATAGTGGGGTTTGGGAGAGGTTCATCCTCTGCAAGCCCCACTGCCATTGTCACTCCTGCTTCTCTCCATGCACGTAGAGATCCATATGATTTACTCCTCATACTCTAGAGAGACTGGCCCTCTAGATCCTTCCCCAACTCTGTTCCCTTCTCTGGACACGCTCCAGCCCCTCAATGTCTTTCTTGCAGTGAGGGGCCCAGAACTGGACACAGAACTCGAGGTGTGGCCTCAGCAGTGCCCAGTGCAGAGTGACAATCACTGCCCTGGTCCTTCTGGCCACACTACTTTTGATACAAGCCAGGTGCCATTGGCCTTCTTGCCCAGCTGGGCACACACACTGGCTGGTGTTCAGCCTCTGTCAACCATCACCCCCAGGTCCTTTCCCTTTGGGCAAGTTTTCCAGCCACTCTTCCCCCAGCCTGGAGTGCTGCAGGGGGTTGTTGTGACCCACGTGCAGGACCCGGCACTTCGAACACACAAACCGACATCTTTTATTGCTGAGACCTTCCACAGCAGAACCAGGACTATCTTCCTTTTGCTGCATGGCACAAGGAGGCTCAGGAGGAGGGGCTGGCTGGTGACAGGCACACCCTTGGTGGGACTGGGTGCCAGGACAGCCGTGGGCTCTGCTGAGTGAGGGCTCCAGCCCTCCCCTTTCCACAGTCCTTGTGGTCACTAACCAGAGATTTTCTCACTTTGCCCAGAGAGGGTGTGGAGGAGTCTCCATCACTGGAGATATTCCAGAACCATCTGGACATAATCCTGTGCAGTGTGCTCTAGGATGGCCCTCCTTGAGCAGGGAGGTTGGACCAAAGGACCCACTGTAGTTCCTTCCAACCTGACCCATTCTGTGATGCTGTGATTCTGTGACCTGCCCAGGCAGTATCTGTCTGCTGTACATTGAGGTTTATGACTCTAGGATGAAAAAGGCTGTGTGAACAATTATATTTTCAACATTTACCCAGCAGAGAAACAGTAGATTTCTTTTTGGAAGACTCAAAACAGCTTTTCCCACTACAATAAATGGGGGAAATACTGTGATTCACACAGAAATACAAATACTCATTTAGCTTCATTGTAGGAAGCAAATTTCCAAAGGCAAACTCAATGTTCACAGACAATGTTTTGAGCTGGAAGGGACACACAAGGATTATTGAGTCCAACTCATAAGTAAATAGCCCATATGGGGATACAAACCCATGACCTTGGTGTTATTAGCACCATCCTCCAAGTGAGCTAATCTGTGACTCTGTGACCTTTATTGTAGGAAGCAAATTTCCAAAGGCAAACTCAATGTTCTCATGTCTCCAAACCTGCTGGTGTGCACTGTTGGTTGAAAGTGTTCACTCTGCAGCAGATGCCTTTGATATGATTTATTCATTTGGGTGAATAAAAGAGCAGCCAACCCAACACCCGGGCAGGTCTGCGTTCATCTCTCATGTAAATAGCCCAACACATTCCGGTTATTAAAGCATCTATTTTACCCAGGTCATAAAAACAGATGGACAAAAAGCTCCAAAGGGCTGTTGCATCCAAGTTATTTCATTTGTCATGGGGATGTGCCCTGATTTCACCATGTGCTCCATTTGACCCGTGCAGTGTGTCAGTACAAACGAAGCTCTGGTCTTCCCTGCCCTGCAGAGGGGGATGTCTCAGGGGCAGGACCTGGTGATGTGCTGGCACTGCCACCAAGCAGTGGTTTGCAGCGAGGGCTCTGCACAGAGCAAGCCCTCATTAGTGTGATTGCATTTGTGGTCTCCACACTGCAGCAGAGACATTAGGTAAAAGCTGAAAGCCAGAGCCATGTGCAGTGCTTCCCAGCCTGGATCTGGCTGGCTGCAGGAGCAGCGCTGCGGGAATGCTCCCTTGGCCTCCCCGAGCATTAGCACAGACTTCCAGTGTCAGTTAAAAAATCAACAAAACGAGAAAAAGCAGCTGGTTTCTCTGGACCAAATGATACTTGACAGGAACAGGTTGAAATTTCTCTGGAAGAGTGTTTGTCCTTTGGGAAATGCTGTTTCGTAGGTGGCTTATGGAATTTAATGAGGTAGCATAGTGAATCTATGGAATGGGAATTGTCATAGCAGACTTTCTGGTTTAGTGTTGCATGGGGCTGTAGTGTTGGAACAGACACTGTGCATGGAAACAGTGATTTTTAAAAAATGTTTTGGAGGGGTTGGAAAAAAGGATTTCAAGTAAAAGTTAAATTGCTCCACAACATCATTTTAAAAAAGCATCATTTTAGGCTTATGCTGTTGTTTTTTAGAGTACATTTTCATTTTGAAATTTGTTTCTATTTATATAGTCTGACAAGCCTCCCAAAACAACAGTGAAATGTGAAAATGTTTTCCACGCACCCAAATTAAAACCCACAGATTTTATTTTGTGGGAAAACTCACAATTTTTTATTTTTGTACCATGCTGAAAAGCAGAGCTTCTGACAAAGTTAGGAGGGTGCTAATAACACCAGAGTTGTGGGTTGGATCCCTGTATGGGTCAGTCACTGAAGAGCTGGACTTGATGATCCTTGTGGGTCCCTTCCAACTCAGAATATTCTGTGATTCTGTGAATGTGGTATTAAAATCAACCCCATACAAGATTCAAAGAATTGCTGCACTTGTTTGGTAATCCAGGAGAAAATGGAAATTCCTCTTCCATGACAGCTCTTACCCTGACCCTCTCAATGTCAAACCTTCCCCTGCCTGTATCCCACGTGCAGTTCAGGCTGTAAAAAACACTGACAAATCCCTGGAATGAATTTCACTAAGTGCCTTTTGCAAAACATCTTGAGTAGGTGCAGTCGATCGATAGGAAACTGCCTGAGCCTGAGAGCAGCTGAACATGGGAGGAAAGAAGCAATTCCTTAATAAGTTGCTCTTTGCCATCTCAGCCCAGGCTGAGAACTGGGACAAATGACAGCAAAGCATGATTTGCAGAGAAGAGCCCATCTGCCAGTAGCACTCACCTTCCTCAGCCTCAAGGTCACATAGAGGGCAAAATCAATAATCCACCAGCCTGGACCTCACTGTGCTGCTCTGAGAAACACTACATAATTAAGGATAGGTCTGTTAAAAGCCTTGAAAAGCAAGAAAAAGGCTTTAGGCACTCTGCAGCTGCCTGGGATACCCCTTCTATGGCATCCTTTGCCAAACAGCAGCTGAGGGGTTGCACAAAGAGCAACACTGAGGGTTGGAAGGGTGACCAAAGTCGACCTTCTCTACAAATCAGATGCGTAGCAGAGAGATTCAGCCCCCACACTTCCTAAATCCACCCACCAGAGCTGTTCAAAATACATTGGTTACTGGTGGTGGGGAGCTCATTAGGTGAGGAAAAGGATCATCCCTTAGAGCTGGGGTCGCAGCCTTCCAGGGAGAGGAATTCCAACTGCAGCCTCCCCTGTCTGCAGCTCCTTCTTCCCTTATCGCCACATCTCGAGTACCATGCAAATAACAATCGTGTATTGTTAGGCAAAAGAGATTTAATTGCAGCCTACACTCCCCGAGAGGGTAAGATCGGCTTTTCTCCAGATCTACTCTCCTGTCTTTATCTTTTCTTCTCCCTCTCTCAGCCTTTCCCTCTCTTCGAAGTTTCTCTTTTCTCTCTTTTGGCTCCCGGCCATCAGCAAGTGACCAACGCAAAATGTATGAAAGAAGGGAGGGGTGTCCTTGTTACTTCCTTCCCCCCCCTACATTTTTGAATAGCCTTTAAATCCTTTGGAGTGTTTTGTCCCACAAAAAAGGATTAGCAGTAATTCCCCTGCCATCTCTCGCTTCCGACGCTCTGACAATTCATTCTCCTGAGATCCCCTAAACTCACCGCTGAATACATTAGCCAGAGGACACGGAGCGGGCTGGAGGAGACTGATACCCGGTGTCCCCCCTCCCTACAGCCTGGCGATCCAGTTCAACACATCCACCCATCCACCACAGCCCCCTGGATCTGCACTTCTACTCCTCAGTAACCCAAAACAAACCCAGACTTGCCCGGAGCGGCCGCGCTGGGATGCTCAGGGTAGGGGAGCTCTCAACTGTGG